GATCACTAAGTCTAGGTATCTAGAAATCAGATTTCTGCTAAAACTTTCACAGGGATACACAATACATGTATATAGAATGAAAACTCTCCAAAAAATGAGAGTGAAAGTATTATTAGAAGCAGGACTTTACAGAGTCTCCCAGTTGCACCCCTCAAGGTACTTACTAATTATAAAGGGACAAATAAGAACACTTTAGTGGTGAGACCCTGTAGATTACACCCAAGTAATTAATGATAACAGCACTAATAACGGGACATCATATGTCTCTTGATATGATGCAATGAGTGGGACGCAATAGAACTTTTAAGATATTCTTGTCAAAAATGCATATCCTGACTGTAACCTGGAGTATATATTAGACAAACCCAAACTAAGGGCTCTACAATCAATCAAAAAATCAGCCGGGCGTGGTAGCGCATGCCTGTAATTCCGGCTACTTGGAAGGCTGAGGCGGAAGGATCGCCGGAGCCCAGCAGGTCGAGGCTGTGGTGGCCGGGAGCGGCCACTGCACTCCAGTCTGGGAAACAGAGTGAGACTCCAACTCAAAAAAAAAAAACAATAAAAATTAAAAAATTTTAAAAATAAATAATAGACAAACCGAGCCTCAGAGAAAAGCAACCGGCCCAAGAAGACGCCACGAGTGCGGAGCTGGGTGGAGTTTTGAAGTCCAGGGAGGTGGGTCTGTTCGCAGCCCGCTGGCGAAGTCGGGCAACGGGGCACCTTTCGGCACCGTCCTCCCCGCCGCCTGCGGTTACCCTTTTGATGCTGCAGCCTCAGCTGCTCCCAGGTGTCACCCACGCCCTGGCGGCCAAAGTACTCGTAGTCCGGGAAGACCTGGGCAGGGGTCGCGGGCAGCAGGAGCATCAGAGGCGGCAGCAGCAGCGACAGCGCTGCCTGGCTCCTGGCCTTGCCGGACTCCAACCGCCCCCTGCGAGCTCCCTGGCGGAGAAGCGCGCGGAGGCCGCGGCGCCCCGACGACCCTCGAGGGCTGCTGTCGCGGCGGGAGGCAGCGCATCTCTCCCCGCCGCCACCAGGCGACTGGGCCCGGCCGCTCGCTCCCCCCCTCCACCTGCGGGCGCAGTGGACCTGACCGCTCCGCTCGTCCGCTTCCCCCCGCGCCCTGCGTAGCATGGTTCGGGCCGCGTATAAAAAGCTAGGCAGCTCCGGGCGCACTCGACGCGGAGAACGCGGGTCCACGCGTCTGGCTGTCCGTGCGTCCGGCCTTGGCCCACGCAGGTATGGACACCCGGAGTGCACCTGGCGGGAGGGAGCCCCCCCCCCCCGAGCAGTTCGGGCCCTGTCCTGACCTCGTCGCCGGCCGCCTTTGTTTCCCATCCTCCGTAGCGGCCTCCTTTGTCCTTGCAAGGGAAACCGAAGCCACAGCCTTGGAGTCCAGGCCGGCTCGCCACCTCTCCGCCCCCTGCCCTGGGAGGGGACGAGGGGGGCTCCGTCTTCTTCTGGACTGGGGGCTTGCGCCACCACGCTCCGGGCGACCCGCTGGTGGGGCGCTGATGGCCGTGGCTGGGCCACTCGTGCAGTGGTCAGGAGGGCGGGTCTCCTGCAGGCGCCGGGCCGCGCAGACCCGGGACTTGGGAGGGGGGCGGGCTAGAGCTGTCGCCGCCGCCATTCTGACTCGGCCACGGGGCCCGGCACGCAACGTGACCTTGGGAAAGGAGGACAAAGGGTCTTCCCGGGGGCACTGACCGGGCGGGGGTCTCAGCTTTCAGTCATGGCCTCTGGCAACGCGCACATCGGAAAGCCCGCCCCTGACTTCAAGGCCACCGCCGTGGTGGATGGCGCCTTCAAGGAGGTGAAGCTGTCCGACTACAAAGGTGAGGGATGCCGGTGGGGGCGGAGCCCACGCATCAGAGGGGCCGGTCCCTAACTCCTCGTCTGTCCCCCTCCTTCCCAGGAAAGTACGTGGTCCTCTTTTTCTACCCTCTGGACTTCACTTTTGTGTGCCCCACGGAGATCATCGCCTTCAGTGACCATGCTGAGGACTTCCGGAAGCTGGGCTGCCAAGTGCTGGGGGTCTCCGTGGACTCCCAGTTCACTCACCTGGCTTGGTATGAGCCAGGAGCAGGAGGGGCAGGTGGCAGCGAAGCCCTGAAGTTGGAACTGTGTGGCCCCCTCTGGGCCTCCCTTTCCCCATCTTGGAGATAATGGAACTATTGATGCCCAAGTCTTAGACAATGATGACAGTAATTAGCATTTGGCAACGAATTACAGGGCTTGCAGATGCTTTATCTCACTTAGTTCTCAGGAGGGAGGCTGTGTTGCTCTATTTTGTGAAGGTGGAAACTCCAGTTCACAAAGGGCTGGGCCCCGGGACACAGCTAGGGGAGCATGGGGACTCCACCGCCTGATGCTGGAAGCCACATGTGAAGCCACTTAGCTGAAGCCTGAGCTCTCAAGTTTAGTCTTCTGGCCAGGTGCCTGTAATACCAGCACTTTGGGAGGCCAATTCAGGAGGATTGCTGGAGCCCAGGAGTTTGAGACCACAGCCTGGGCGACATGGCGAATCCTCTCTACATTAAAACAAATTAGTTGGGTGTGGTGGCTCCTCCCTGTATTCCCAGGTACTCAGGAGGCTGAGTGGGAGGATCACCTGAAGGCAGGAGGTTGAGGCTGTGCTGAGCCATGATCGTGCCACTGCACTCCAGCCAGCCCGGGCTGGAGTGCAGCCTTCAAGTTCCAAACATATAGCCCCTGCAGCCAACCCAGGGTGGGGTGGGTGGGGTTCGCAGGTCCCTACTCTGAAGCCCTTTATCTCTTGCTTCCAGCCTATATCACACCCAGGCCCATAGGGTGAGGACCTGGCTATGCCGGGAATCCTGAGGTCCCAACCCTGTCTCCCCTACCCCCAGGATCAACACCCCCCGGAAGGAGGGAGGCTTGGGTCCCCTGAACATCCCCCTGCTTGCTGACGTGACCAGAAGCTTGTGTCACGATTATGGCGTGCTGAAGACAGATGAGGGCATCGCTTACAGGTACTGTGGGGCCCTCAGCCCAGCTTAGGGAGACTCCTGGACAAGGTCCCTCCTGCCCCCAGTGGGTGGTTGGTGGTCCCTTCCCTGGCAGCTCCTGCTTCCTCACCACGAGTCCTGATATCTTCAGGGGCCTCTTTATCATCGATGGCAAGGGTGTTCTTCGCCAGATCACTGTTAATGATTTGCCCGTGGGGCGCTCCGTGGACGAGGCTCTGCGGCTGGTCCAGGCCTTCCAGTACACAGATGAGCATGGGGAAGGTGAGTAGTGGATACACGCATTCATGTGTGCGCATACATAGATATGTACTCAGCTCCTCTATCACTCATGCGTTTACTGCCTGCCCTACTGCTAGTGCAGGACAGATGTCATGTCCCAAAAGAAGAAAAGGTCAGCACTGGACCTTTGTCTGCAGGAAGCTTCTAGTCTGGTGGAGGAGATACCCCAGTTCAAAGGTGGAGGGCTGGGAGGTAACAGAGATCTACAGAAGGCATTTGAGATAGCGAGTCTCAAGTTAGGTTTGAAAAATGTGAGTTGGCTGGGCTTGGTGGCTCAGCCTGTAGTCTCAGCACTTTGGGAAGCCGAGGCGAGTGGATTGCCTGAGCCCATGGGTTCGAGACCCACCAGAGCAACTTAGTGAGACCTCGTCTCTACAATAAATCAAAAATTAGCAGGGCATGGTAGCACACACCTGCAGGCTGAGGCGGCCGGGAGCATGCCACTGCCCTCCAGCCTGGGTGACAGAGTGAGACTTCAACTCAACAAGAAAAAAAGAAAAATGTTAGTTGGATCAGAGTACCTTCTCATGTGAAGGAGACAGCCTGACCACAGGCTGTCAAAGTCCAGCAGGGCTAGGGCTTACGGAGAAAGATGGGATTAAAAGGGCCAGAAAGATAGCCTGATGTGGTGGCTCACGCTGTAGTCCCAGGTACCTGGAAGGCTGAGGCAGGAGGATGGCTTGAGCTCAGAAGTTTTGGGCAGGCAAAATAGCAAGACCTCATCCATAAAAGATGGGAAAGAGAAGGGGCAAAAAGAACTTAAAGGTTAAGGGCAGGAAAAACACCAATTAGAAAATACTACAGCAGAGCTAGGCACAGGGGCTCACGCCTGTCATCCCAGCACTTTGGCGAGAGGATTACCTGAGCTCAGGGGTTCGAGACCAGCTTGAGCAACAAAGTGAGACCTTGTCTTTACAATATATAAAAATATTAGCTGGGCGTGGTGGTGCATGCCTGTAGTTCCAGCTACTTGGAAGGGTGAGGTGGAAGGATTGCCTGAGCCCAGCAGGTTAAGGCTGCGATGGCCGTGAGCATGCCACTGCACTCCAGCCTGGGCGACAGAGTGAGACTCTACTCAAAAAAAATTTTAAAATAAAATACTACTTTGTGACCCGCCTGGGCAGCGAGACCTCATCTCTACAATAAATCCAAAAATCAGCCGGGCGTGGTAGCGCATGCCTGTAATTCTGGCTACTTGGAAGGCTGAGGCGGAAGGATCGCCCGGGCCCAGCAGGTCGAGGTTGCAGTGGCCGGGAGTGGCCACTGCACTCCAGTCTGGGTGACAGAGTGAGACTCCAACTCAAAAAAAATTAAAAAATTTTTTAAAAATTAAATAAAATACTACAGCTGGAGGTTGGATGGGATGGTTTATGTCTGTAGTCCCAGCTATTCCGGAGCCTAGGTGGGAGGATCGCTTGAGCCCATGTGTTCAATGCTGTAGTGAGCTATGATGGTACCACTGCACTCCAGCCCAGGTAACAAAGCAAGGCCTCATCTCTTAAAAAAAAAAAAAGACAATACTGCAGCTTGGCTTGGAGGGCATCTCTCAGTGTGCATGCTCTTGAGCTTGGGCCACTTGCTCCCAGCTTTTTCTTCTGCAACTCAGGCTTTGTGTGTGTGTGTGTGCGCTTTTTCTTCTGCAACTCAGGCTTTGTGTGTGTGTGTGTGTGTGTGTGTGTGTGTGTGTGTGTGTGTGTCTCCTTGAATATGGCCTCCCATGTGCATCCCTGTGTCTTCCCACAGTCTGTCCCGCTGGCTGGAAGCCGGGCAGTGACACGATCAAGCCCAATGTGGATGACAGCAAGGAATACTTCTCCAAACACAACTAGGCTGGCAGACAGATAGAGCTTGTGCTCTTGGCCCCACCCGTGCACCTGCCTGGGTTTCCTGTGCTGACCCAGGAAAGGCCTGGTCTGCCCCTCTAAACTCTGTAGTCTGGTACCCTGGAGGGCTAGGCCAAGGCCTTCTCTTGCCTCCACCTGGGAGCTGGTGAACACTGACCCCTCCCTGGGGCCCACCCAGCCTGTAGGCCTAGAGGTGACCAATAAAGTATTAGGAACAGATCTGCTTGTGTTAGTGTGTTTTGTCCTTGTGCATTGTGTCCCTTCCCCCGCTCCTCCTCCTTTCTCCAGGCTCTGGACTGGGAAACTGGCCCTGTAGTTACTTATCTTTACCACAAGGTGGCAGCCTTACCTCTCGCGCACCTTACTTTCCTCTTACCCTTCTTGGCCTGAGCGATTTCCAAGTGTTGGGAGGGGGCTGTTTGCCCCTTGCAAGGAGCAAGTCCCATAATGCCATTCATCCTGAAACCTGGCCATAGAAGCCAGCGCCCACATCGTACTATCAGCCAGCATGGGTCCAAATGCCATTTAAGAGCTGTGATCTCCCATGGGTTTCTTCAGCAGTAAAATGAGAGTAAAGACGACAAACCCAGATCATCATGCGTGCAAGTTAAAGCAGATAAAGTATGTGAAGCTCGGGGCCCAGCCCGTGTGTGGGGCCCAGCTACTAGTTACGAGGACTGCTCCCTGAGGCTGGAAGGAACCCAGCCCAGTCTTATGAGGAAGAGGGTGGGGACCCAGTCCTAAGAGCAGAACCGCCTGAGCTACGTGCTTAGTCCCTACTGTGAGATCTGCCCCACCCCAGGCTGGAAGGGCTGCCTGCCTGCCCCTGGGGTGGGAGGGTGAGGGTTAGAGGAGACAGGCGTTAGGAACAAATCAGGGTTCCCAGGGGTACCCTTTAATACTGTGAATTCAGGGAAGTGGCTTTGCCACTCTGAGCCCCAATCTTCCTCCCCAGAGCAGAGCTGATATTCTCATCCAATCCACAGACCCACTATGAATACTGCTACCTAGCCTACACCCTCTAAAGGTCACTCATCTCCCTTGGAATTTAATCTGCATTCCTCTCCAAGGCCCTGGCGAGGTCTTTCTCAACCTCATCCGCCCCGTAGTGTTTCACTCCATTCCAGAAGCTGGTTTCTCGCTGTTCTTCCATAGGCTAACCTTGCTGCCCACGGGACCTTTGTATGTTCCCGCTGACCAGGACGCTGTTACCCAGGATTTTCTCAGGGCCCCGCTCCAAATCTCTCGAAAAGTTACCAAGTTTAAGGTCCATGCTCCCACTCCATTTTGCAAAGCCACTACCACCTGGACCTGCGTTTTCTCTTCCTAGCACTTACCACCACCTCCGAAGAATCCCATTTGCTTGTTTATGTACTGTCTGCGGTAGTCCAGGCTGTGTCTCCAGAGCCTGGTTGCTCAGTAATTTATAAAGGTGGTCTGGTTTCTCTCTCTTCCCTTTTTTAAAGTACAATCTCCACTTTATTTTCTTCCAGAAGAGAGTTGTCCTTTAGTCCTTAAGGACTCAGCTCCTTACACGGGCTTTGCTGGAGGTCGTGGGGCAGCCCCTGCGGGTCTAAACCGGGGTGGGGGCGTTCGAATGACGAATGTCTTCACAGCCTCAGCCTCGGGCACGCATCGGCGCAGTTCGTGCGGCGAAGGGGCGGCACGTGGCCGCGGCCCTTTTGGGCACCACCATTGTTCCTGCTTCCCTTCGTCATCCTGGAAGCGAGGACCGGAAAGCGGCCTGGTTTCTCTACCTGTTTTTCTCCGCTGCTCTGGGGGCTTCCAGCTCCGAAGCCCGCGAG